TCTTATGTCTTTTTAATATTCAATGTGATGAAATTAAAATATGTAGCAAGTTGCATACCAAATTATGATAGTTGTCTTGAGGAAAAATAGTTATTTTGTTGGTTGAGTTGTGAACTGAACCAGTCACTCTTTTCATGAAACACATGTTTTACTTGTAAGACTGATAAGCAGTTGCGTTTATTCATACTTGGGTATGTGGTAGATTCTTAAAAATGAGCAAAGTGAGCCTGTCACTTCAAGGAAAACAACTGACAGTAAAGGTTGCCAATGATAAATTTTGTGTTTTCAAGTAAAAATTAGATTTTTAGAAACTTGTATCCACCACTGAAAGCTTGACAGATTCCTAATATATTAAAGACTTTTCTGATAAAATCAGTAGTGATATCAATGAATGTGATTTTTAAAATACTGTATACAGAGATTTGTAAACATTTAGAAGGACTATTGTAATTCAGTGAACTAGTATTTCCAATTGACCAAATACATAATTATAAAATCATTCATGGGTAAGAGATTCATCAAAAGTTCAAGATGAACCAATGGATTTTAAGGTATTAAAATACGAAAAGAATATTTCTGTTCAGTGATATTGTTTCCAGTTCCACCCTATAACTAACCTTTAAGAAACTATGACTTGTTGAGTTTTGTTGTAGTGTCAGAAAGCAATCACCATAATTACCTGAAAAGGCTATGCAATACTCCTCCTCTTTCTATCTGAGGCCAGATTTTTCTTTGTATATTTCAACCAAAACAGCATATTGCAACAAAGTAAATGTAGAAGCAGATATGAAAATTCAGATCTTTTCTATTATGCCAGCTAGTAAAGACATTCAGAAGATTATAAAACAGTGCTATTGTTCTATATTTTTTGTTTTGAAGAATGTGGTTATTTTTCATTTAAAAAATTATTTATGTTAACATAATGGGTTTATTGTTTAAAATAAATATTCTTAAATTTTCTCAAGTTTTGTTTGAGCCTCAATATCCTTTAATGTAAAAAAAGCTATTAGCTATTTTATGCTTCTTAGTGGAAGAATATATGATCACCTTGAAAATATGTTGAAAGAAGCCAGTCACAGAAAACCAAAATTATATAAATTCATTTATATGAAATGTCCACAATAGGCAATTCAGTAGAGATAGGAAGTAGATTATTGGTTGCCTAAGGCTGATGGGGAGGACTAGGGGTTTGGAGGATGGTGGCTGGAGAGTTTCTGAGATAATGAAAATGTTGTAAAATTGACTCATTATTATAGTCTATTTTATAACATTTTTATCATCTCTGTGAATATACTAAAAACCATTGAATTCTACACATTAAATGAGTGAATTGTGTGGGTTGTAATTTTTAAAAATTTCTGATTTACTTAAATTTTAAATAAATTAAGATTTAATATAAAGTAAATATTAATTTATTTAACCCACATGAACAAAAGCTTTTGGAGTCCTTAGTAATTTTAAGAATATAAAAGGGTTTTGAATCCAAAAAGTTTGAGAACCCTTGTCTATATTCTCTTCTCCATTCAGACTTGTCTTTCACTCACACAATTGCGTTTGTTTTTGCCTGTTCTTGAGTCTTAAAATGCTTTCCTCTGCCTTTCTGTTGACCAGATTTTAAGGTTCATTTTGCCTTTCCTGATCATCCTAGTCTATAGTCATTCTTCCCTTATTTAGTCTTAAGCAGTTTATTATTGATATACTTAATAGTCATTTATAAACTTAATATTTTACTGTATGTGCATATCTCATGTTAAATTCATGTAAAGTACTTAAAACAATATCTGACATTGTATTATAAAATGTAGCAATTAATTACATAAGGGTAAAGGACAGAAAGGAGTCAACTTATGATGATATCCAGGCTTCTGGCTTATATAACTTAAGTGGTAGTAGTGTCATTCATTAAAATAAGATACTTAGAATTGGATGAGATTTGCTTGGGAAGATGAATTCCATTTGATTGAGTTTGAAGTACTTATAGGTCATTTAAACAGAGGTGTCAAGTAGCAATTGGATATGTGTGTCTGGCGCTTAGGAAAGAAATTTAGGCTAAGATTATGGACTTGAGAGCTGCCATACATGTGTAATAAAAAATGCCACTCTATTGACAGTTTATCTTGTGCTAGGTACTTTGATGAGCACTTCTTAAATTTAATTTTCATAATAATCCATGAGGTAGTATTACCCTAGATCAGGAAATGAATGCTTAGAAAAGTTTAATAACTTGCCCTAGACCACACAAACTCAGTGGCAAGATCTGTGATTTGAACCCAGGTCTTTCTAGCACTAAAGCTATTAATTCTTATGCTTTGCTGAGTAACGGAGTTTGGAAAAGGGATAAGATCACTTAAGGGGAGAATGTAGTACGAGAAAAGAAGGCTAAAGATAGAATGCTGAGGAGCTCCAACATTTAAAGGATGGACAGAAAAGAGAAGCCTGTGCCTACGAAAGAGATTGAAATAGAACAGCAAGGGAAGATAAGAGGAAAATCAGAAGTGGTATCATAGAGAGAACAGCCAGGTGCAATGGCTGCCACCTGTAATCCCAGCACTTTGGGAGGCTGAGGCAGGCAGATCGCTTCAGGCCAGGAGTTCGAGACTAGCCTGACCAATATGACAAAAACCTGTCTCTACTAAAAATGCAAAGATTAGCTGGGCGTGGTGGCACATAGCTATAATTCCAGCTACTCAGGAGGCTGAGGCATGAGAATCCCTTGAACCCGGGAGGTGGAGGTTGTGTGAGCCAAGATCATTCCATTGCACTCCAGCCTCGGTAACAGAGTGAGGCTCTGTCTCAAAAAAATAAATAAATAAATAAAAATTTAAAAAAAGAAAAAAGGGAATTACAAAGTCTGAGTGAGTGCTTGCTGTTTCAGATAAGAGCTGAAAAGTTTTAGCAAAAATGAAGTCACTGGTGACAGTGACAGGAACCGTTAAATGAAGAGGTGGGGATAGGATGAGATGTGAATGAGAGATAAAGTGGACACAGTGATAACAGATGATATTTACTAAAAGTTTTGCCTGTGAAGAGAAATAAAGATATAACAGAAGTAAAGATACAGCTTGATGTGTGTGAAGTGGAGGAAATATATGTATATATATTTTTAATGAGAAAGGGATTAAATATTGATGGAAAAGAGCCATTAGGAGTGTTCTCTATTGCAGGATTACAAATTAATGGCTTTAAACAACTATTTTGTTTTGCTCATTATTTTATGGGTCAGGAATTTGGGGAGAACTTGATTGGGTGATTTGTCTCTATATGTCATCAGCAGGTGTCTGGAGCTACAGGGTATACTTCCAAGATGCTTCTTCACTAACAAGTTTGGCATCTTACTACTCCTTGGTGCACACTCAGCTCTCTTCCTCCCATCCTCCCTCCCTAGAGTGGTTAGAATGTTGAGCTTTGGAGTTTTCACCTGCAGAGAGAAGATAGGAGATTTGTTGGAAAGTAGAGGTTCTAAGAAACAGGATATTTGGCAGGGTGCAGTATCTCATGCCTGTAATCCCAGCACTTTGGGAGGCCAAGGTGAGAGGATTGCTTGAGTTTAGGAGTTCAAGACCAGCTTTGGCAACAGAGGGAGACCCTGTCTCTACAAATAATTTTAAAAATGAGCCAGGTGTAGTGGCCCACGCCTGTGGTCCTAGCTACTTGGGAGGCTGAACTGGGAGAATCGCCTGAGCCTGGGACGTTAAGGCAGCAGTGAGCTGTGATTGTACCACAGCACTCCAGCCTGGGTGGCAGAATGAGACCCTGACTCAAAAATAATACAAAACAAAACAAAACAATGCAAACAAAAAGTAAAAGGATATTTCATAAAATCATTCATTTATTAAATAATGAAGTTTAACTTAATGAGTTTAATGAAGTTTAATAGGTATAGTAGGACTAACAATGAGAGTGAAAGTGTAGGAGGTTATAGTCAAAGAGATGTTTCACCTTAGTATTTCCAGAGACAGAACATTTCTGGGTAGTTTACTGTATTCTAATAAATGATCTTGGGAGTGCATGAGGAGGTCAAGAAGCCAAAAATTACAATGAGCGAGAGCCCAGGACATGTAGTGAGGAGGAATGTTAGTGAACTAAGGACTAAGGTTTTTAATGCTTAAGAGCAGTAACCAAGAGATAAGTGAGACCAAGAGATAAATGGGGCAAAGGGTTAGAGAGGTCCTCAAAAGAAAACTCCTGGCTCACTTAAAAAAACAAATCTCTCTCACAATACCTAATCCAGTCTCTAACACATAGAATTTAGGTGCATAAACCATTAGATTTGTAATGTCCTTTGATGAATTTACTCCTTTAATCATTATGAAATGACCCTCTAGTAATATTGTTTGCTCTGAAAACTACTTGTGCCCAATACTAGTAAAGCCATTCCAGCTTTCTTTTCATTAATATTAACATGGCATATTTTCCCCATTCCTTTATTTATATGTGTCTTTATTCTTAAAGAACTGATTTTCTTATAGGCAGCATATAGTTGGGTGTTGCTTTCTTAAATCTAGTCTAGGAAAATCTACCCTTTAATTTGGATGTTTAGGTTTAAATTTAATGTGACTATTGATATAGTTGGGTTTAAATTCTCCATCTTATTATTCATTTTCTATTTTTCTCATCTTCTTTTTCTCCCTTTTCTCTTTTTCTGCCTTCTTTTGGATTGAATTTTTAAATCTGTTTTATCTCCTTTCTAGGCTTAACTGTCTATATTTCTTTGTTTTATTTTGTAATTGGTGTCTTTTGATTTACAGTATGCATCTTTAAGCTTTCATAGTCTTTAAATAGTATTACACTACTTCATATATAGTATAAGAATCTTAGAACAGTATATTTCCATTTTCAAATCCTTTTCCAACCTTTGGGCTGCTGTTGTCGTACATTTTGTTTCAGAAGTTATAAACTCCACAATACATTGATATTATTTTTCTTTTAAACCACCAATTGTCTTTTAAAGAGAGTTCAAAACAAAAGAAAAAAGATGTTTTGTTTAATTGCATATTTACCTTTCTAGTGCTCTTCATTCCTTGTGTAGATCCACATTCCTTTTGTTTTCCTTCTGACTATAAAACCTTTTTTTTTTTTTTTTTTTTTTTTTTGACATTTCTTAGACAGGTGCAGTGGCTCATACATGTAAACCCAATACTTTAGGAGGCTGAGGTGGGAGGATCTCTTGAAGCCAGGAGTTCAAAACCAGCCTGGGCAACAAAGCAAAACCCTGTCTCTATTCTTAGAAAACAAACAAAAATACATTTCTTGTGGTGCAGATCTACTAGTGATGAATTCTTCCAGCTTTTATGTCTGGAAAAAAACATTTTATCTTTATTTTTAAAAGATATTTTGCTGGGTATTGAATTCTAGGTTGATAATCTTTTGTTTTTTTTGTTTTTTTTTGTTTGTTTTTTTTTTTTTGAGTGCTTTAAAAATGTTGCCGCACTGTCTTCTGCTTTGCCTTTCTCATTTTTTCCCTTTTTCCCCTTTTTCTCCTTTTCCCCCTTTTCCCCTTTCTCCTTCCCTTCCCTTTTCTTTCTTTTTTTCTTTTTTTTTTTTTTTTTTTTTTTTTTTGAGATGGAGTCTTGCTCTTTCGCCCAGGCTGGAGTGCAGTGGCATGATGCTGGCTCACTGCAACCCCTGCCTCCTGGGTTTAAGCGATTCTCCTTCCTCGGCCTCTTGACTGCCTGGAACTATAGGTGCATACCACCATGCCTGGCTAATTTTTGTATTTTTGTTAGAGATGGGGTTTTGTCATGTTGGCTAGGCTGGTCTTGAACTCCTTATCTCAGATGACCCACCCACCTTGGCCTCCCAAAGTGCTGGGATTACAAGTGTGAGCCACCATGCCTGGCCTTGTTCTTTTTTTGCTGTATTTTTTTCCTGCATGTTTTTCTTTCTGTATTTCATGTTAAATACCTTCTATAGCAATGTCTTCAAGTTTCTTTGTTTTTTTCTTCTGAGGTGTCTAATCTGCTACTAATCTCATCTATTGTATTTCTAGTCTTACTGTATTTTTCATTTCTAGAAATTTGATTTGAGTCCTTTTATATCTTTCATATCTATCTTTATTCTGTTTATGCTTTTCTTTACCATCTTGAACATATGGAATATATACATTTTTTAATGTCCCCTTCTACTAAGCCTAGTGCCTGTGTCTTTTTAGGTCTGTTTCTTTTGACTGATAGTTCTCTCTCTTTTTTTAAGAGTAATATTTTTTCTGCTTTTTTGTCTGCTTGGTGGTTTTTTGGTTGGATGCCAGATACTGTGAATTTTGCTTTAGTGAGTCCTGAATTTTCTTATTCCTTTCATTATCCTTGACCTGTGTTTTGGAACACAATTATCTGGAAATAATTTGACTCTTTTAAGGCTTCATTTATTTATCCAGTTTTTGTTTTTGGACACGGAGCAATCTTTAATCAATCACTAAATTTCCAGGCATTGCTCTTCTGAGTACTCTACTGAATGTCCCATATATTACAAGGTTTTTCCACTCTGGTTAGTGGAAAGCAGAACTCTTCCTGGCCCTGTGTCAGCTCCTGGAAGGATTCTACTCCTCCCCATGGTTATTCCCTGGCTTTTAGTATCCTCACATGCATGATCTGATCGGTACTCAGCTAAAGACTCAAGCTTAACCCTCTGCAGACCTGTGGAGCTCTCTTTTTGTAGCTGTCTTCTCTCTAATAGTCTGCCCTGGTAATTTTAGTTTGCCTTGGCATCTCTGATTTCTCAACTCTGTTTCTTCAACTGGGGGACCACTGGGCTGCATTCCAGTTTCTTATCTCTGCACTGTGGCCTGTAAACTGTCTCTAGGCAGGAAGCTGTGGCAATAACGAGGCTCACCATTTGTTTTCCTTCCTCTAGGGATCGCTGTTCTGTACTGCCTGTTGTTTGTTGTCTAAAAAGTATTGTTTCATTTATGCTGTTCAATTTTGTGGTTGTTTAAACAAATCTGGTCCCTGTTTCTTCCTCAGAGTTGGTAGGGTTACTAAACATAAGGCTTAGTGATTGATGAAGTATTTATAAATATGAAATATGTATACTTATAGAATATTTAGGGTATCATTTGCACTTCCTTGTGTTTAATGCATCAGGTCTTCTGAATAATACTGTTTCAGAGGGGTGCCTACCATATGGAGAACATAGAAGTACGAGCTATTAACTATTTTCTTGTATTCAATTTTGTTAGTCACATGAATATTGAGTCTCCTTTAAATGTGTCAAATGTAGCTGACTTATTAAATAGGATTCTTTCATACTATTTTTCTGTGGCCACCAAACATTTAGCAAATTTCTTCATTCCGTTACATAAGTACTTGGCCAACATGCATTTACATAAGAAAATATTTAGGATGGGCTGGCAAGATGGCCGAATAAGAACAGCTCCAGTCTGCAGTTCCCCGTGAGATCAATGCAAAAGGCGGGTGATTTCTGCATTTCCATCTGAGGTACCCAGCTCATCTCACTGGGACTGGTTGGACAGTGGGTGCAGCCCACAGAAGGTGACCTGAAGCAGGGTTGGGTGTTGCCTCACCTGGGAAGCACAAAGGGTCAGGGAACTCCCACCCCTTGCCAAAGGATGCCATGAGGGATCTGCTGTGAGGAATGGTGCATTCCAGCCCAGATACTATGGTTTTACCATGGTCTTGCAACCCACAGACCAGGAGATTCCCTCAGATGCCTATACCACCAGGGCCCTGGGTTTCAAGCACAAAACTGGGTGGCAGTTTGGGCAGACATTCAGCTAGATGCAGTAGTCTTTTTTTCATACCCCAGTGGTGCCTGAAACGCCAGCGAGGCAGAACTCTTCACTCCCCTGGAAGGGGGCTGAAGCCAGGGGGCCAAGTAGTCTACCTCCTTGGATCTTACTCCCACAAAGCCCAGCAAACTAAGATCCACTGGCTTGAAATTCTCACTGCCAGCACAGCAGCTGGAAGTCAACCTGGGACACTCAAGCTAGGTGTGGGGAGGAGCATCTGCCATTACGGAGACTTGAGTAGGTGGTTTTCCCCTCACAGTGTAAACAAATCCTCTGGGAAGTTCAAACTGGATAGAGCCCTCTGCAGCTCGGCAAAGCCATGGTAGCCAGACTGCCTCTCTAGATTCCTCCTCTCTGGGCAGGGCATCTCTGAAAGAAAGACAGCAGCCCCAGTCAGGGGCTTATAGATAAAACTCCCATCTTCCTGGGACAGAGCACTTGAAGGAAGGGGCAGCTATGGGCACAGCTTCAGCAGACTTTAAATGTTCCTACCTGCCGGCTCTGAAAAGAGTAGCAATCTCCCAGCACAGCACTTGATCTCTGCTAAAGGACAGACTGCCTCCTCAAGTGGGTCCCTGACCCCTGTGCCTTCTGACTGGGAGACACCTCCCAGCAGGAGTCAACAGACACCTCATAAAGGGGATGAAGCTTCCAGAGGAAGGAACAGCCAGCAGTCTTTGCTCTTCTGCAGCCTCTGTTGGTGATACCCAGGTAAACAGGATCTGGAGTGGGCCTCCACAAGTTCCAGCAGACCTGCAGCAGAGGGACCTGACTGTTAAAAGGAAAACTAAGAAACAGAAAGGAATAGCATCAACATCAACAAAAAGGATGTCCATACGAAAACCCCATCCGAAGGTCACCAACATCAAAGTCTAAGGGTGGATAAATCCACGAAAAGGAGGAAAAACCACAAAAGATTGCAAATTCCAAAAACCAGAATGCCTCTTCTCCTCCAAAGGGTTACAACTCCTCGCCAGCAAGGAAACAAAACTGGATGGAGAATGAGTTTGACAAATTGACAGAAATAGGCTTCAGATGGTGGGTAATAACAAACTCCTCTGAGCCAAAGGAGCATGTTCTAACCCAAGGCAAGGAAGCTAAGAACCTTTAATAAAGGTTAGAGGAATTGCTAACTAGAATAACCAGCTTAGAGAAGAACATAAATGACCTGATGGAGCTGAAAAACACAGCATGAGAACTTTGGGAAGCATACACAAGTATCAATAGCTGAACTGATCAAGCAGAAGAAAGGATATCAGAGACTGAAGATCAACTTAATGAAATAAAGCATAAAGACAAGATTAGAGAAAAAAGAATGGAAAGGAATTAACAAAGCTTCCAAGAAATATGGGACTATGTGAAAAGACCAAACCTACGTTTTATTGGTGTACCTGAAAATGATAGGGAGAATGGAACCAAGTTAGAAAACACTCTTCAGGATATTATCCAGCAGAACTTCCCAACCTAGCAAGACAGGCCAACATTCAAATTAAGAAAATACAGAGAACACCACAAAGATAATCCTCAAGAAGAGCAACCCCAAGACACACAATTGTCAGATTTAACAAGGTTGAAATGAAGGAAAAAATCTTAAGGGCAGCCAGAGAGAAAGGTCAGGTTACCCACAAAGGGAAGCCCATCAGACTAACAGCAGATCTCTCTGCAGAAACCCTACAATCCAGAAGAGAGTGGGGGCCAATGTTCAACATTATTAAAGAAAAGAATTTTCAACCTAGAGTTTCACATCTAGCCAAACTAAGCTTCATAACCAAAGGAGAAATAAAATCCTTTACAGACAAGGAAATGCTGAGAGATTTTGTCACCACCAGGCCTGCCTTACAAGAGCTCCTGAAGGAAGCACTAGACATGGAAAGGAAAAACTGGTACTAGCCACTCCAAAAACATACCAAATTTTAAAGACCATCGACACTATGAAGAAACTGCATTAACTAATTGGCAAAATAACCAGCTAGCAAAATAATGACAGGATCAATTTTACACATAAGAATATTAACCATAAATGTAAATGGGCTAAATGCCTCAATTAAAAGACACAGACTGGCAAATTGGATAAAGTGTCAAGATCCATCGGTGTGCTGTATTCAGGAAATCCATATCATATGCAAAGATACAATTAGGCTCAAAATAAAGGGATGGAGGAATATTTACCAACCAAATGGAAAGCAAAAAAAAAAAAAAAAAATTCTGATAAAACAGACTTTAAACCAACAAAGACTGAAAAAGACAAAGAAGGACATTACATAATGATAAAGGGGTCAATGGAACAAGAAGAGCTAACTATCCTCAATATATATATGCACCCAACACAGGAGCACCTAGATTCGCAAAGCAAGTTCTTAGGGAACTACAAAGATACTTAGACTCCCCCACAATAATAGTGGGAGACTTTAACACCCCACTGTCAATATTAGACAGATCAATGAGACAGAAAATTGGCATGGATATTCAGGACTTGGACTCAGCTCTGGACCAAGCAGTCCTAATAGACATCTACAGAGCTCTCCACCTCAAATCAACAGAACATACATTCTTCTCAGCACCACATCACACTTATTCTAAAATTGACCACATAATTGGAAGTGAAACACTCCTCAGCAAATGCAAAGAAATGGAGATAATGACAAATCGTTTCTC